GGTTAAAATGAATTTCACATTGCCCTATGCATCTTCATGTACATATACCTATATACCTTAGAATGATTATATAAAATAAAAGTCGATTGTCATAATTGATTGATCACTGGGTGACCAATGTCATGCTTGTCTAGTCCTTATTATTAGTGCAGATCGAATGCTATCGACCATGTTGCAATGTGGCCACCAGTCTCGGTGACTCGACACCGCGGGCACTATTGTAAGATTAGATGGTGGTTGGAGGTAGTCGACAGGAAACCCTGGACCCGGGTTTCGTGCTACTTGGCACTCGTCAGCAAGGTGTACCTGTAATCTTTGAGGGAACTGGTGCTCCCTGGCGGATTAGATCCCGTGTCACCCAGCTTCACAGTCAGAGACGTTACCACTGAGCTATCCGGGCCGCTACCGACCTCCTGTAGGACTGAGATGTAATCACAATTGATTGATCACTGGGATAACAGCTCAGTCCTACAGGAGGTCGGTAGCGGCCCGGATAGCTCAGTGGTAACGTCTCTGACTGTGAAGCTGGGTGACACGGGATCTAATCCGCCAGGGAGCACCAGTTCCCTCAAAGATTACAGGTACACCTTGCTGACGAGTGCCAAGTAGCACGAAACCCGGGTCCAGGGTTTCCTGTCGACTACTTCCAACCACCATCTAAAAGTCGATTGTTTCTGAACAGTTTCTCTTTCAAAGTTTAACTTTCATACATTTTGATCATCGATTATACAAACAATCTGTTATTGTTATTAACATTTATATTATTCTTTTCTATTGTATTTATCATTGTATTTTTAATAATTATCAATCAAATGATTGTATTTATTAAATAATAGTTAAGAATCAATGTGTAACTAAGACAAGAAGATTTTTAAAAAAAATGAAATGAGGTCAGGTCAACTATTTCCAATGTCTATCTTTTATCATTTCTTTTTTCTTGAATGGATGAACATACGCATGAACATAGACATTTTCATCTAACTAGTTATTTAATGAAAAGTATAGAAAAAGATTTTTTTTGTGGAGAACCTTCCCCCCCCAAAAAAAACAATCTAGACAATAGTGAAAAAAGGTGTCTAGAAAGTAATATAAATAGACAGAATTAATAATAATGAAAATAACTGAATTTTATTTAGAATAAAGAAGCATATAAAAACCACTCGGATATGTCTTTCATGAATCAATTCTTCTTGTTCACACTTTGATAAGCTTAAATATGTGAAATGTTTTTTTTTTGTTGTTGTTTCTTTTCAACTTTATCATTAAGTATTGGTCTTTCAACGTTAAATTTATGTTGGGAAGGAAGATTTGGTAGATATATATATATTATTTCATTTAGGGATTATTTAGTAGTATGCTATACCATATGAATTCAAGCCTATGGTATTAAGGAATTAATACCTAATAACTGAAAAAGAATAATCTGCTCATATGTGTTGAAAGACTGTTTAACTAGATAACTGTTAATGCATCCATATAACATAAACCAACATTCACATGTAGATATTGATAAATAAACTATTTAATTACTGTTAAATATACCAAATTATTTATAAGACAAGAATATGGACAGCTTCAATGCAACTTTTGTTTGTAAATATTAATTGCACACTATCTGTTAAATAACCCAGTTACAATGACTTAATTAAATACTTTGTACACAAGTACCATTTTTAATTCCCCTGCGTATTAAATAGGTTGTACAATCATATTGTCTTTTAAAATTCATAAAGTCAGAATTTCAAAACTAAGCTTATGAACATGACATCAATTTGCCCTTCTTGATTTTTCCAGTAATTTCCATAATTCACTTGGATCGTTTTAACATATATAATGAAACTACAACTTATATGTTTCAGCACTCGGTTACTAGCCATTGAGTATTAGTCGCCAAACAGCTTTCGTCATTTTTCGATCACGATTAAGAAAACACATTCACTGATGATGACAAATAGCAGTCTGTAAATATCGTGAAATGGTTAGGGTTTAATTGCTAACATTTCAAGTCGTTGTATCAATTCGAAATGTGAGCTTCATGCCTCTTCCTGAGTTAAGTAGAAAGTGCTCACTCACCAAGAGTTTTATAGTCCAATGAAAAGAGTGCTTAGTATTCTCAAATTTTCAGTAATAAGCCAGCTGGTAAATAAAATTACTCCAAATTATCATTGGGCTAAATACGGATTTTGGGAACTATGAATTCAAAAACTATTCATTCGTGTCCCGTGAGTGAGTCGGTCGGCTACAACGTAGGACCAGGCACAGATGTTCATCGGTCCAAGTTGTCATATCTTATTAGCACAACAGGATGAACACCAAATTCATCGAAGCAACCAGTCCAATCGTAGAAAAAAAGCACTTCATATAAGGATATGAAAAAGGGAGAAAAGGTTACTTCGTAGAAAGATATAGAGTAATTTAATCTCACGGATTAAGGGATAACAAAGAGTGCATACACCTACGCCATTGTGGTCGATTCTGAGTCATGTCACACAAAGTCTCCAACCATTGGTTACGATAGTCACGCGAACTCCAACCAACTAGTCTGCATCTACAAACATGGCTCAGACTATAAGTTAGTGTCTTCAAGCACTGATGTCACGTTTTGGTTTGGCCGCCCCTAACATTCTTCCAACCATCCCCAACACCGGTTAGCATTGCACGTCGTGGTAATCGGTGTTAAGGCATATGTAACACGTGGCCCAAGCATCTCAGTCGATGAAGATTCACAACCTCATCAACTAATTTACCATCATTCCCTAATACAATATATCTAACCCCACTATTACTTACCCGATGATCCCAGCAGATGTGAGCAATATTTCTAAGATATCTGTGATCAAATATTTGTAACTTACGAGTATCCCTACCCTTAATGGCCACGTTTCGCAGCTGTAAAGTAGAACAGAAACAATTGCTGCGCAGTATACCGTGAGTGATTCAAGACCATGTCACACGATAGGGCGATGAAATCATCAAGACAATGGTATCAGTAGTAGCAGAAAGAATTATTATGGACAATATAGTTCGAGAAGAACGAAAAAACATTTTCAAACTCAAGATCAAAGGGAAGACAGAGTAAATGCTTCTGTGACGTCACTCATAGTCTCCAGCTACCGGCCCAATTTGTCAGTTCGAAATAATCTCTAGATCGAATAATAGTGTACGAATAGAGGACACTCGGTAAGAAACAGTCACAACACTTGATCAGCAGGATCAAATACTACTAAGGTCAAGAAATACAACTTTAGTTAGTTGTGTTCTAGAACCTGAACACTTAATATTCGATCAATATATTCACATGTATGTCAAAAACAACCCTGGTTTTCTCAGACTTGCTATATATGAGCCCTAGTGAAGAGTCGGATTATTACAAGTTGGTATTTTAGACACCATGTTGATTAAGCTGATTCTTGTCGTTATCATAAGAGAATAAGTCTTTTCTCATAAACTGGAACGATCAGCGATCGACACTAGTCAAATAGGAGTGTAGATGACGAGTGAATCAAAACAAATAAATGCATGCCATATATATATATATATACCGCAATTAGTTGGAAGTACCTGATAATGGTTTAGAAGGAATACTTAATTCTTTCATTTCATATACTGAGTAGAAATCCGCACAGAAACCGCAATCAGTCTTCAGATGTAGGTATTATACTAATGAGACAAATTACGAACTTCACTGTTTATAGATCTATCTATTTAATGTATTCAACCATTGCTTATAGCAGATCGATATATATGTCATTCGGGGTTAAAATTTTGAGGTCACATTAATAAATAACGATCAGTTGATTTCAAATATCGGAATTATCGCATACAATTGACGATAAACTTACGATCGCCTTTTGTACATCACACTATTTTAGTTGTAAAATATTTAAATATGACGATCAGAAAAATTAGCAGTTGTAATGTCATATTGAACAAACCTCAGCCAAGATAGAGTCCAGAGATAAGAATGGATTGTATTATTTTTATATTCCGAGACTTACAGAGTGTCTGTCTTTAGTTTCACTAAAAGTCCATAACTTTTAGAATGACTCTAATTCAGATCATCCTTAAATTCGGAAACGCTCCTACATATTAGTACTTTTCAGTCCTTCCGAAATGACTGTAAACGTCCATCATCTAATGTTAAGCAAAGTGAAGTTCACAATTTTTTTTGTTTAACACAGTTTTCCGATAGAAATACACATTCTAGATAAGCGGTTTCACAATAATGGACATGGTTATTTTCCAAATATAAAGGGCAAACTACATCACACATTAACAAGGATAGTGGTTCAATGGTTGAAGCGTTCAACTTAGTCAATAACTCACAGGCATGAACTCCACTTTGCCTACCCTAGTTCAGGGAGCCTGATAGTATTGCTAGCCCTCACACTTAGGGCGTAGCTCAAAGTCAAGTATAGGAATCCAGACCTGACAAATTACTTTAAGAAAAACCAAGTTAACTTCGTAGAATGAGTACAGTTGATGTAAAGGAACGTTGGACCAGGCATATATATATATATATATATATATATATATGCATCGGTCCAAGTTGCCACACTTCATTAGCACAAAAAGATGAACATCGGATTCATAGTAGTTAATTCAATGGTGGTAATATATAAAACAAAGATTGCATATAAGAACATAGTACGGGATGAAAGAATTAGTTGGTAGAAAGAAAGATATGAAGCGATTTTAATCTCATAGTTTAAGGGAAGACAGAGAGTGTATACACCTACGCCATTGTGGTCGATTCTGAGCCATGTCACACAATCTCCAACCATTGGTTACGATAGTTACGCGGACCACAACCAAGTAGTATGAATCTGCCAACATGGCTCAGACCAGAAGTTAGTGACTTCAAGCACTGATGCCACGTTATGGTTTGCCATCCCCAAAACTAGTCAGCATTGCGCGTCGTGGTAATCAGTGTTCAGGCATACGCAGGGCGAATAAGTGTTTTTGGTATTTTTAGTGTTTCCGAAATCAATTAATAAATTGGATACTGTAGATATTTTATGGAAAGCACTAACCACCACCGAATGATAATCAAAAAATGTCGAATGGAAGAATAACGAAATGAGTAAGCTAAAAAGATATACATATCTTGTAAAATCGTAAAGCTACTAGCAAAAATATGTGATAAAATAAATGAGTGGTGACTTATCCCGTTTTTTCACTGCTGTATGAGAGAAAATATAACTTACGACGTCTAGAATTGACTTCAATGAAAAACAGTTGGGAACAACTAAAAGTATCTACATAACTGAAGTTACTTTTAGTTTATATAAACTTGAAAGAATTCATCGTGTTGCACATTCATCATAGATAATTTGTATTCCCAATTAAAGAAAATAAGTTTATGAATAAAAAAGAGACCAGATAAAACTCAAACCGGAAATATATATTTTTAATAAGAATTGAGTTAGAATTTCAAAATAAAAGTAAAACTGAGTTAGTAACATTAAAGATCACTGGGACATAGCTGAGGTAGAAGATTATAGAAAAAAAGAAAATAAACACAAGGAAGTAAACCTTTCACATAATAACAAGTTCTAACATATTAACTTCCTGCGTAACAAAAATGAAACGATTAGTATGAAACAAAATATCTTTGCTTTTGGTAAAACGCAAGTGTGAAAATAGTTAAAATCGTACAATTCCTGAGTAGTCTGTGAGCAGGTCTATAAACAAACATGATTGATTTAGTGGAAATCTGTTTTACATAATGAGAAAACAACATTATATGAACTGTAGTATAATAGTGAAACTTGAATATTTAGAAAAAAATGGAACGAAGTTATAAAAAATAAACTTTTATTTTAATCACTACCGGTTTCCAGATAGAAAATTAAGATAGGTACTCTGAATATGAAATTGGAATTTTTGTTTAAATCCAGTAGAAATATGATTACGGATGGTTTACCAGTAAAATGAGCAAAAATTAAGATAAACTAAATGCACAGTAAACCTAAATATACATCGATTTAAAAGTCAGTATTTAAATTACAGCACGAGACTGGGGAACGGAAAAGTTAGAGGAACTAGTAATAGTTTGTGCTTGATTTATAAAGTGTTTTCTTCTATAAGAAATTTCGCAGTCGTTCACAGACTGTATATGTGACTTGGTACAACGGAGTGGTAGGATTGATACGGAAGAAGATTGATTTCCATGAGAAATTACAATGAGACCTTTGGTAGTACCGTAAAGAATGCTGCCATTAGCATTCCAAACAATAGTATTCAAAGAGATTCCACTTTGAGCAGAAAGTAATAACCGGTGCCAGCGATCTAACTTTTCTGAAGATGGACTAGATAATTCAAGGTATCTTGATGAAACAGGATCTAAAAGTGCAGGATGTTTGATATTCTGAATATCACGCAGGCTCCGCCGAACTTGACCCTTCTGTGTTTTGGAACGTTGAAGGTGGAAAACGCACGCTATGGTGAAGAAATGCAAGGAAATACCACAGTAACAAGAAAAACATAAAAAGAATCACCACATTCTAAGAGCAAACATGTAAAAAAGAACACTGAACTTTTAATGCATATGAAATAGTAGTGAAGTGTAAATTAATATACAGTTAAAGTCAAAACATGATTGATCTTTAATATTAAAAGTTAATTGACACAAATAATAATGTAACGCAATTCGGTAAAATTATAATATTTAAAGACTGATTTCTGAAATTCATTGTGATTATGGATGCAAGGTAATCTGGTTGATAATACTCAACTCAATAACTTGAAACATTAATGGTATATTTGAAAAGCTGGCGTACTGATATCAATCTAAGCTTATTACAACCGTCAGTGTAGACTACTAAACAAATGAATTTTCAAGAACTGTAAATATCAGTTAATAAATCCATTTGGCACGACAAGCAAAAACGACAAACTAGGGGCTATAAACAGAATAGTGTAAATGGTAAATGATATCAAACATTTGAAACGAAAGAAGATAATACTACGAAATCTAAGTAAAATGATAGATATTGTTATTGAAACCAGTCACGCCGAAAATAGTGGCATACAGTAATAATTCTGAATTCGTCTCTTGTTAAGGAATATAATGAAAAATTATTGCCGCGTTCATGAAGAACCAGGATAGATTGGCTTTAGTATGCATGGGTAAGACTTTAAAACACACTTATTACAAATGTCTTTCACCTATTCGATTAGAAATCACTAATGATAAACCATATTATTGTTTGCACAACATAGGACTTTGACTAGTTCCTGTTGAGGTCGGGCTTACACCGGAATGTGTTGACTGCTCCCGTTTCCCTATCAATCAGTGCTAGTGAATGAATAGAGGTGCTCATGTAAATTCCACATAATGTTACTAGTATTATGTCATTGTGTTTTCAGATTAATTGGAATATATCTTGTTCCCTCTCAATGCTTGTTCTGGTTTGCAAAAAGTCGAGTGAAATATAGTACCTAGAGGATATTAGATGGTGGAGAGCGTAACAGTTACAGATAGTTTGTCTTCAGTTATTACAATAAATTATACATAATAACCTTTAAATCACGACGGCGGAACTATTTGTTAAAATAACTGTACAATTTACAAAATCTGGACGTATCTGTTCAAAGGACAAAATTACTCCATTATGAATCGTGTTGTTCCACCTATATGCTCATTTCACTCAAAACATCAAAGTAGAAAGTAATATTATCCAAACACTTACCGACAGAGGATTGTCTTTGGCACGAACATTTAACGTTTGGCTGACGAAGGTCTGAATGGTCCTGAAGCGATGAAGAACTGCCATATCTTAAAAGACTTTCTTGTGTAGACGACTCTCTTGTGGTAGAGAATGGTTCTGAAGGTATGCGTGTAGTTGCTAACCCGACTGCCAAAAAATCTCCTAAAGGACTGAAGTCAACACATACAGGACTAGATGCGGTGAAGCGGCGAGCGAACAGACACTGACCGCGGTTATGTTCCGGTTGCAGACGATACACAGCGAGAAGTGTACCGAGTAAAGCGGAAGATTGAGATGACTGTAATGTGTAGCACGATGTTTCTCGAGGAATAACAAATGCAGCAAGAAGGCGTCCATCTGGTGAGAGACAGACAGATGAATCATTAAACAGACGAGCGTGAGGAACAACAAGACTATTATTGTTATATGATACCGCAACGTTGGTTGGCATGGGCAAGCACGCACTTTTTGCTGAATCACGTCCACCAGATGAAGACAAATAAGGAGTATTATAGATAGGACTGCATAAACTAAGTTCCCACCGGCAAATACGATGTGTAACATCCTGTCAAGGAAAAAAAACAAAAGATTAGTTATATAACAAACTAGCAACAATTAACAGTACTTTGGGAAGATAGAAGTATATAATAAGTCAGTCAGCTGCAACGTAGGACCAGGCACGTATATGCATCGGTCCAAGTTGCCATACCGCATTAGCACAACAAGATGAACACCGGATTCATAGGACTAGTTAATTCAGTGGTGGTAATATATAGAAGAAAGATTGTGTATAAGGAGATAGTAAAGGAAGAAAGAATTAGTTCCTAGACAGATATGAAGCGATTTTAATCTCTTAATTTAAGGAAGACAGAGAGTGTATACACCGACGCCATCGTGATCGATTCTGAGCCATGTCACCAAGAGTCTCCAACCACTCATTACGATAGTCACGCGGACCCCAACCAGGTAGTCTGCACGTACCAACATGGCTCGGACCAGAAGTTATTGACTTCAAGCACTGATGCCACGTTTTGGTTTGGCCGCCCCTAACTTTCTTCCAATTATCCCCTGCACTAGTCAGCATTGCGCGTCGTGGTAATCGGTGTTCAGGCATACGCAACACGTGGCCCAACCATCTCAGTCGATGAAGATTCATAACCTCATCAACTGATTTACCATCATTCCCTAGTACCCTGCGTCTAACCTCACTATTACTTACCCGGTGATCCCAGCAGATACCCGCAATATTTCTAAGGCACCTGTGGTTAAATACTAGTAACTTACGAATATCTTCCACTCTTAAAGGCCATGTTTCGCAGCCGTATAGAAGGACGGAACGAACTGCCGCGCAGTATACTCGTCCCTTAATTGATAGACGGATATCTCGCCTTCGCCATAGATGACGTAAGTTGGCAAAGGCCAAGCGAGCTTTTCGAATCCGTGCTGAGATTTCGTCAGACACCAACCCATTAGGGCTGATCAGACTTCCAAGATAAGTGAAGTTGTCAACGCGTTCGACTACTTCACCCCCTATCCTTAGTTCAGGTGTTGATGCAGACCAGTCCTGAAGCAACAACTTGCATTTAGAGGGAGAAAAGCGCATCCCAAACATTCCAGCATTGTTGCTCAGTGCTACCAAAAGACTCTGCATTTTATCAGCGTCTTCACCAAACAGGACTATGTCATCTGCGTATTCTAAGTCAATAAGTGGACCTCCTGGTAGGAGATCAATACCCGAGAAGTCAGTCGATGAGAGCGTTATTTCCATCAGGATGTCTATGATAAAGTTAAACAAAAAAGGAGAAAGTGGACAGCCTTGACGGACGCCACTTGAGGTTGCAAAAGCAGATGACAGTTCGCCATAGGCTCTGACTCGACTAGTAGTGTTCGAGTAAAGAGCCTTCACAAGGTTTATGTACTTCTGAGGTACGCCTTTCAATGACAGACACTGCCACAGAACCTCTCGGTCAACAGAGTCAAACGCTGCTTTTAAGTCAAGGAATACCACCATTGTCGGACGCCGATAAGTATGCCTGTGTTCTAGAACCTGACGAATGGTGAATATGTGGTCGATGCAGCCACGACCAGGTCTGAAGCCAGCCTGATTTTCACGTGTTTGCAGTTCACGAGTCTTAGTTAGGCGTCCGAAAATTATCGAAGCTAGTATTTTAGATACTATATTAGTCAAACTAATCCCTCTGTGGTTGTCACAGGATGATTTTGACCCTTTCTTAAATATTGGGACGATAAGTGATTGTGACCAGTTAGATGGAATAACGTCTAACTCCCAGATTTTAGCTAAAATATTAGTCAACCTAATCGCTAAGACTAGACCACCATCCTTAAAGACCTCTGGGGCCAATCCATCTGGACCAGCTGCCCTTCCTCGTTTCAGATTAGCTATAGCCTTTTGAACTTCAGCTAGAGTTGGGGGACCTACTTCAATGTTCCATTCACACTGTCTGGGAATAGAGGGTAGTTGTAGAGTAGCTGAAGGCCAGCTAAACTGCTCCTTAAAGTGTTCCGCCCATCGTTCTAAGCGTCTGGACTGGGAGCAGATGAGAGTGTCGTCTTTTTCCGAAATGGTCTGACTTACACTTGATTTATTAATTCCAGTTTCTTTTATTAGTCTGTAGAGTTGTCTTGTGTTCCCTATAGCCGCCGCCTTTTCCATCTCTTTTGCTTTCGTTGCCCACCACTGCTCACGATCATTCCTTAGACTTTTGTTTAATCTAGATTTGATTTCTTTACGCTCTTCATCGTATTCAAAACCTGATGGGATGAGTTTGCGAGAATCTATCAGTGCAATAGACCTTGACGAAATCCATTGGTTTTTTGTAACCATTTGGTTTAAATTACTGGTAGATGTCACTACTGTTTCCACAGCTGCTTGTATAACTTTCCAAGCAACATCTGGGTCGGTCTCGTTTTCAGAACTACCTAAGTGTGACCTCAGTTGTTCCTGGAACCTACTTTTGGCTTTCTCATTACTCAATTCGGTTCTAATGAGTCTTTTTTGTGTGGCTCTTTTGCGTCCAGTGAGGCGCAAGCAGATGCGTGCTCGTACTAGGGCATGATCAGAGTCCAAGCAGGTACCCCAGAATGAGCGACAATCTTCTATTGACCCTCTCCAACGATGACTGATGGCAATATGGTCTATTTGAGTCCATCGTTGGTTTGGTGCAGGGGGTCGCCATGTTAGTCGATGTCTCTCCTTATGCTTAAAATTTGTGTTTGCTAAAAATAAACGATTGTCTGAGCACAGTTGCAGCAGACGATCACCATTATCTGTTCGCTGTGCTGGAATACTAAAATACCCACCTAAATGTCTTTCTGTTTTGTTTAAGCTACCTACCTGGGCATTAAAGTCACCTCCTACGAGTACTATGTCTGAACGTTTAGCTTTCTGAAGAAGTTCAGACAGCTTTCTGTAAAATTCATCTTTCACTTCATCCGAACTGCAGTCAGTGGGAGCGTAGGCAGAAACGACGAAAAGGCAACGACGTGTGTCCCTATCCTTCCGAGTTCTTACGGAGCCGTTTAGCCGAACAGCGCATAGACGACTGTTAACGGGGATCCACTCTAATAGCGCTTGTTCCGCCCTCATGCTAAGTGCTATGCCTACACCTGCCAGTCCACGAGAACTAGCCATCGGGTCGCCAGATACACGGAGGGTGTATCTCGTTGGCTCTCCGTTTTGCCGAGGTGAGGTCAAGTGAATGACCACACTAGGATCCTGTATGCGTGTTTCGGAGACACAGCATACATCAATCGTACGAGATTCTAAGGTTTTAGCCAAGGAAGCCTGCTGACCGATTTGGCATAGTGTGCGTACGTTGAAGGCTCCAATGTATAGTTTGGAGCGAGGTTTCAGTAGACCTGGGACAGTGTTTTGAGCACTAGAATCGTTGGCTGTGGTGACACTTGAGGAGGACGCTAAAAGAGGAAGTTTAGTGTATAAAGTCGATGTAGGAGGAATAATAGGAATTGAAGAGGGAGGTTGACTATGAATACAGTGGTCTTGAGTGCTGTTAGAGGTATGAGGGCGGTTATCACTTCCCGGTTGCCCACACCGTGGAAGGGTTCTTCTGGAGGTACCTGAAAAGGAAATTGGATTAGAGTTGGTCATAGTGACCTGAGAGCGTGACCACAGTGCCCAAGGGACAGCTGCTTGAGGTCGGTCACACACGACCTTTTTATGAGTGATTTTTGTGTTAGCTCCGTACTTGTTGAGTCCTTACCGCCGGAGACGGATATCCGTGGGATAAGGCGAGGTGTGCATTTTTAGGGTCGACCTTTTCTAACCCCACCCCTCCTTGTGGGAAGGCAGCATCGCTGTCATGCTGGTTGTCTGAAGGAAACACCTTACTGCTGTCACACCTCTGTACAGTCAGCAGTACGACTTCGCCTTCGGACCTTGGTTTTGTTGCTTTTAGTCTTACCGCTCTTCAACCGACCTGTCTGGCATGGTAGGACCTTGAGGAACGGTTGTTCCAGCCAGTATAGCTCAGTTGCTTCATCACGATAGGCAAGCCCGACCACCACGTCAAGGTAGCAACAACGGTCAGGGAAGTATATAATAAACTTAAAAAGAAGAGGTATATTGTATAGAGATGAGATCAAATAATTGTAAGGATACATAAAGCTAATTCATCTATAGATTTACTGTATATAGTAGGGTAATTATTGAGGTATGTCTTACTTGTTTGAATGTAGATTTGGGTATCACTTGATGGCCCCCAAATGCCCTGGTATGGCTGAGAGTGGGGAAAGTCTGTTCTCTCGAAATGCTCTCACATGGCCACGTGCATACAACCACTGTCAGGGAAGTCCTACTCACTGCCTTCTCGCGGCATTACTGTTGTTTACGAAATTGAGAGGACGAAAAGCGAATGTCCAGCGCTTTAATCAGGTTGGCGGATATGGAGGATCCATCTAGAAGAGTTGGAAAACCCTAATTCCAAACCAATGGTGTATATGGGCTCCAGGATCTCAAGGGAACAAATAGCGTATGAATCAACTGTCGGTCACCGGCTACCATGGGACTGCATCTCCTAACGTTGCTCCACTAACTTGTGGATTAGACCTTTACGTCCAAGGCTAGGGGTATGGCCCCCAAAGAGAATCACCCGGGCAGTAAACCAGCCCCCACATAAGACAAATGATTTATGTGGCGCATATCTATTTAGTGCCTCCTTGTACCAATGTTTATGTGTTTAAATAAATAAATAAAAAATAAATAACACTTGAGAATTCAAACAAATTACTAAGTTTGATTTTTTTAAATTGAATAATCTTGAAAATTACATATTCTTAGGGTACTAGTTTTGTTTGATAACTAATTAGCAGAATTCGGAGTGACGGAGAGTGGAATTCTTATTATACAGTGGTCGGTGAAGAAGTAAATATACAATAAAACACTCTAGTTATATGAATAAAAACTCACTTGAAGACTAGAGGCGGATCCATATTCACCCATATCAACAAAGAGACCTGTTATAACTTCAGTTATACTACGATTCACCGCATTTAGTACAGAATTATTTCCTGTTTGGTCAATCAAATGAAGCACGGCATTCACCGATCTTTCAGCAATTTCCGACTTTCTAGCCTCCACATTTCTGGATCGGTTAGACAGAGAAGTGGAACCAGATGGACAAGAGTTCAATAACGATAAGTCAAACTGATAAGAAGGATGACTTGTGGGAGTGCGGGGATCTTGGTTAGATGAACATTGTGAATGTATAATGCTATCATGAGCTTTCTGGGAACTAGGAGTTAAGTACCGATTTTCAGAATAAATTAACTTTTCACAAACGACTGCACTGATATTAGAGTGGGGATCAACGGGAAATGTCTGAAGAACAATACGACCACAACGGCAACATGCAGTCATTGAACTTCGGTTGGGTCCTGAAAGCAAACAAGTTGACAAAACAAAATAATTGGTAGTTATTAAATCAACCGTGTAAATACAAATGAGCCTTAATAATTTGGCAGTCAGTACCTACGACTGAAAAAAGTAACACCTCCAAAATCTCGGTTGTCATATCAGTTTAGCGGCTTTATTTTACATATTTTTTGCTTCTCAGAGAGCTTCGCCTGAAAAACTGGAATGCACGTTCGGAACTGGCGAAAATCGCAGAGTAACTGAACAAATATACGAAAAATGTTACCCTTTTAAAATGTTCTAACTCTTATTTCCTCATGAAATGTTTTTCTACCTTTAGATACGAGAATTAGTTGAAGCTAAAATATTTCGTTACAGATAACATGTGACTACCTAAAAGATGGAAATGGACAGGATATACATTACAGAAATCAAACTGAATCACGAGACATGCCCTAATTCGGAATCCTGGAGGGAAACGGAAAAGAGGAAGGTCAAAAAGCACAGTGTCGAGAACCGGAAGCAAACATGAAAAGGATGGATAGCAACTGGAAAGGATTGTCCAGGACAGAGTTCGATGGAGAATGCTGGTGTGCACTGTCACGGGGGGTAGCAGAAGTAATTGTCTAAACTTGGAAACTCAAACCTACAATCTGACAGTCAAGTTAATAGTTTGATGAGTCCAAACCTTATATATGGAAAACGGGTCACAAAAGTTTAGATTTGTGCTGTTTGAAGAGATTACGAGGTCACCTAAATCGGCGAATGGAACGAAGATTCAGTGACACAATGACAAAGTAAGCTAACTATTCCGATGCGTCTCAGCCCCACTAACAATAGAGAAAAGTCCAGGTTCAGAAGAGGGAAAATGTATCCCACAAGCAGGAACAAGAACAAACACAACTCAAGCGTATATATACAACATAAAAATGTTCTTGAAAACGTTACAAAATAACATATTAAAAGAGACAACGCACCAATGATACTTAATGTCCTCTCAAGCGGGAAATACGATATGAAGGTGAAAATGGGCGCTTTTGGTGCGAAAACAAGAAATCCAAATTTCCAAAATAAAATACCAAAAATAAGACGTTTCCAAGTGAGTTTGTTAATTTGACTAACATCGCAGTGGTGAAATAAGCAAATAATAACTTCACTGCGTCTGAGTGAACATTTACATTAATGGTATCATGACTGCTTCGGAAACCCACCAACGCACACATTTACGGACAAGAGTCTACAAGATCCAAATCATGAAGTTTACTCTAATGAATGGCAACTATTGTATGGTTGTAAAAAAAAACAATTAATCGAGGAAGGTAGATTAGTTGGTAGAAGTAACAGAAAACGGGTCGAAAATGAGAGATCTTCAGAACTTTGAGAATGAAGTATGAACGGTGAGACTATAATTTATGGAAGACCTTTGAGTGACGCTAAAGCGACCTTGAGAATGTCCATATAATAACTAGGACCAAATGAGGGTTATAAACCATGGTGAGGAACTAGAATTAAGATTTACTGTTGATGGTTAAGGGTTAGGAATTAGATTTATGTTTTTTATCACGATCTGACATCATCTGAAACGCCAAAGACGCTCCTTAACCAAATAAATGAATGAAATTCGCGCAAAAAAATCCAAGACCTTTTATCTTATATTTTTCATTCGTTCGTCCATAAATTACAGTCTCACAGTATGAATATGAACCCTTATTCCTACCCGAGGAAATTTGTGGGTAAGAAGTTTGAGAAACAAAATTGGATTTATAAATAACATCAACTAAAAATAACGTAGGATTACCTTCACATGGATCAGTTTCACAACTGTCGACATGTTGTGTATCGTTCATAGAGACTTTGTTAGAAGTTGTTAACCCTGAAATTTGATCCACAATGGTGGATTCCGAAAGAGAATCGGTAATTTGGCGGGGAGATCTTAACAGAGAAGCTCCAGTCTGGACGTACGGGAAAATCGACGATGACATCCAAGGTATGACACTAGAAGTGTAGTGAACGGTAGCAGGACGTGGATAATTCCAATTGTTATTAGGGTTGTCACGCGTGTATGCACCCAAATCAGAGGCCTCTTGCGGCAGACGATATTTACACGTTAGAAAAGTGTTCGGAAGTTTAGATCCAAGTAATTCATCTTTTGGATCAGAATCCACGAGCACGGGTTTTAAAATTGAGGTACTATCAAAAGATAATTGACTACCATATTGACTAAAAAGTATTTTGTTCTGAAATTGATTATCCATTTTTCGACGCTGAAAGATCAAAATTAACAGTCAATAGAATCAATAACATATAATTACAAAGATAGGATATAATACATAGCTATATGAACCACTGTATAATATCAATGCAATTCAGTGACTGTAAAGGAATATAAAGCAGTTGTTTCATTTTTATTCTAGTCTGCAAATTACACTGTACGATCATAAACAACTATTATGAGAGGTTTTTGATTATTTGACGAGCGGATTTCCGGTTGCTAGTCAATGAGTAGGATACTTATCAGTGGATGGCAACAATGATAAGATTTGGCCGAGTGGCATCAACGGTCATTAAATTGTATTACTGATTTAAGCCTTGGATTTTTTCATGCAAATTAACAAACGATAAAAGAAATTAACACTCATTTCAATATTTAAACAATACCATAGTTCTGTTTTACGTCCCTACAGATTAGTTTTTTAACACATTTGGTTTCTCCGTTAAAGTTTTTATACACAAGAAACGTTCTGTGTCACTAGATAATTATTATCATCGGACTATCTTTTGGTTGAGATCTATTTGTTCAACATGCATCAAATGGATCGATTGAATTTGGCAGCGACATTGAAGGCTTGGCTCATATCTCGAACTTTTGTTATAGGTATGTTTTACGCCCTAAATAACCCTATCAATGACCAAGATAATCTTTTTTATCTATTGTTACAAATTATTGTTCAAGAGCGATTACTTAGGGAACGCTGGATACAAAGCCCAAACTATTTGGTTTCAGGGTTGTGCTCAGGTAGGAAGGCTGTTAAGTCGTCACTGTGCTTTTATGTTCAATGGTAACCATAAGAAAAAACGAATTTATATTAGCTTAGTTTACGTTACTATATAATACAGGATGAGTGTGCTTGTAAGTGTAATCTTACAGAAATAACGCAACAACTATTTTAGGGAGAATTTAAGCAAATACATATTTTCGGTAGCAACTTTCGTATAATTATAAGTAGTAAGCGAAATACCAATCATAAATATAAATTCGGAGGACTAAACCAATGTGACTAATCACGTTATAATACAGGTATGTATTAGGGGATAAAATTAGTAACAATAATTATGAAAATTTCACTGAGATACACTGTTAGCTGGTTAGAGATTTGTGTATGGAGTATGAGCGAAATGAATAGACAAGGATTTGCAATAAGGTTGCACGGTACGTGTATATTACAAAGTTACATAGTGATCACTTTTTCTTTAGTCTCGGTTGGCTCCGCTTTATTTTCGTGGTGATATTCTCACAAACCTTATCTATGGATGGAATGATCACACCTCACGGTCAAAAAATAGTAATTATAATACTTGACATCAGCAGCTTAAAACCTAGTTTTAGCGGATCTAAGGGAGAAAAATGCTGAAAAAACTCCAGAGATATCCATAACACTAGACACGGAGACCAAAAAAGCATATTTTGGCTGCACTATTGCTACTATTATTATTGAACGAATAAGGGTGCGTTTGTGAGAAAGATGAGTAACCCCGCAAATATTTACTTTAAAAATTGCTTAGTCTAAATACAAAAATTACCGAAACTGTCATCATGAGAAATAACATACCTTAGATGAAGAAGAGGCACACACGATTATCTGTCCCACCTGATTGTAAGGTATAGTAATATTTGAGTCCCACAGGGTATGAGATAAATTGAGATTGGAATCACTGCCACTGACTAACAGTTTTTTGATGTGTTGACTGAAAACAAAGTCGTTGATTAAGTCGGTGGCTACATAAGTTACTGGAGTAACTTCATGAGCATTACTTAACCTTGAACGTAAAAGATCCAAAGCTGCAAGCGGCATTAGGCGGAGAGATTTAGAGGTTTTTCCATTCATTGACAGGACGTCAGATTCCTTGGGTTCAGAACCAGCTCCATGAGGTAAAACGGGAGATTGGTTACATGTCAGTGACACACTGGGTGATTGTAATTGTAAGGACATTTTAGCTTGACATTGAATGCAAATGCCAACAGGAGGCTCAATATCGGAAGACTTTTCCGCATTATTCGTTTTCTGAATAAACATTAAGAACAATGACATGAATATGAGATGCTAAAATCGTGACATATTAAACGCAGGCTACAATGAACTAAATTAATAACAGATTAACCATATTATTGTGAAATAACCAACCTAAATTTAATGTTACCAACTCAAATACAGAGAGAAAGCCAAAACTACAATTTTGCATAAAAAATTGATTGAGCTCAAGTCATCACAGTTGACGATACATAAGGTAAAAAGAATAGTCAAACAATAATAGATGTCAACGCAGATTAATGACTAATAACAAAGTATTTGGGACTTAAGGAAAACAATTAAAGCCATTTTGCCAATGTGACTAAACCTGAATTAAAAGACTGACGATTTCCAACCATTGATAGCCATTACCTAAAAGAATCTATCTAGGAACTCAACTACTCTTTATATTATGTTGATAACTTCACAGATTGTCATATTTGGCGTCGATAGTCACTCTCTTACTCCATTCCACGCACTGCAATAACATGGTAAACAGACGTGCCAAAAACACGACCAAAGAGACTTCTTACGTGTTCACCTTCCTTAGAACTTTTAACTGCAACACCAGTTCTAGCCAATGTTTTCCCTGAAAACCATCGACCAAGAACGCAAGTTTGTATTTATGAGGATGAGCGGTTAGATTACTTTGAGTTATCCTGTACTAGTCGAATTAAAAATGATAAATCGAGGGCTCTTTGTTAAAAATACAAATCTATTAGAACTCATTTGACGTATAGAAATGCAAAAACTAACTTAATATAACTGACAAGTAAGACTGCATATTCCAAGTACAGGTTGTTGCATACATCAAAGGTTAGTAATCAGTTGTTATAATCTGTACATATAGTTTGGTTGGGCGACGTTGCGATTATTTTTGATTTTATTACAGAATGAAAAGGAATAATACCTTATTTTTACGCGTTAGTAAGCACAAACTTGTTATTTACTTACTCCAAAGGATATAGGAGTTGGTATAGAACCTGCTGTACTGCTAGCATTTGACGTAGAATTTAGAGATTGTTCATCATTTGTAGAAAACGACCAACGCCACCAAGCAACATGTTTATTAGCCCAAGACCAAAATGAGGAGAGGCAAGGTCGACATAAAGAATGACGCATTAACTCGCGATGAGTAATCACCAAGTCACAAGCATGACCACCGCAACATACACCGTTATTCGAGATTGCAACCCATGGGGATTGACAGTAGTTGCCTCTTGAGCGAAGGAATTCATGTACTGGCATATCTTCAATTATGGCCACGGCAGCTGGATTAGCATCACGACAGAGACGCTCATACACTTCAGAACGATTATTGGGATTTGTCAAGTTTAGTAGATGTTGGACATGTGATGGTACCATGTTGGACGAAGTACTGGCGGCCATAACAGCTGCGGCTTGTTGTGCTACAGACATCCCAAGGCGAATATCTGTCGTCGTTGCAGGGAATTTAGGTCCAAGAGTCCCAGCCCACCGACATAAACGAACCGAACAAACGGAACATATACCGAGACTTTGAAACCAGGAGTCAGAACAATTGACAAGATATTCTAAAAGAGTGTCACGAGGTACTGTGAGATTACATGAGGCTTCGGGAGTTACACTGACGCCATCTACAAAAGAGAGACGAATAAGTAATGACAAGAATATATAGTTTTTCGTTTTGTTGAAGCAAAGTTTTTATGAATTCGTATTAAGTGTTTCAGTTAGTTATATACCGAGCACAAATTCGGAACTTTCATGGTGTGGGCAACCGGGAAGTGTTGACCGTCCTCATACATCTAACGGCACTGCATTTCGTCCTGTGCTTTGCTCCTTTTACTATGTTTGTATTGTCAATGTTAATTCATGTGAGGTGGAATAAATTCTTAATGGTTTAGCATTATGTAAGAATGGTGGTGAATTGATTGCATTTCAGATTTCCATGTTCCGAAAGACAAGTTACTTCATTGTTTTGAAAGTTGTGTTGGTATTCCATAATATCGTGTCATATCAATTGTGTCTATCTCTGGTTCTAACACTGATCTTCACTGCTGGAATTTTTGACGTTTCCCGTTCACGTTCTCCTCTTTTTGTGTTCGTTTCAAGAGATGAAAAACGTCTTAAAGACTGTACGATGCGAAATCTATGACATTATGAATATTTTTATAATGTCCTCCAAGCATGTTAATTATTTTTTAGACTACACCATTGTGCAATCAGTTGGTTTAGACTGATATCAGGATAAAGTCTTTGTAAAAAAAACATCAGAACCGGTTTGAACGAGTCGTAGTAGGAAACATGGGACATTAACACACCTGACCACTTAGTATCCTTACATTCTTAGCAATCAGTGCCTAGTCTCAGAGTTTACCCATTAATCTAAGGTATGGCTAGACCAAGTATATTTGGCTGACGATTGTTTACATTTTGATAAATAATTTGATTTCGTAAACATACATCACAGAATTAGCTATATCTTTAAAGGGTCTTAAACAGCTTTATTGAAATAAAGCCTACCTACAAACCAAAGTAATAAACTTTTCAACCTACCACCAATTGAACCGACATGAAGCAAGGCGGCTTTACAGTTAAGATGTGGTATAAAGACTCTCTTACGATGCAACTTTTTGGGCTGAAGTGTAAACTATTTTATAGAGTTCTTCAAAATACCTTATATAACTACTGAATGAAAAGAAAGACGCACTAAGCGACACATTATGTTTACATTACATGTAATATACCCTACTCCACATGTTTTAACCACCCCAATAGATGAAGACTTGCAAAACTCACCAACCAATTTGGTATTTTGGCTATTACCAAATGCCCAACGTAAATATTTTTTGTTAGGTTGTTCCAAAAATCACCAGTAATGCTTTGAAGACACCTTACACAAATCTTCTACTTTCAAAGATCATGTTTTACAGCCACAGAGTGAATTGTGGAGCAATACAGACACCCTAACACTTCCGTTGGCCAGATACGATTAGCAACAACCTAATGTAGGAGAGAACAAACCAACTTCCAACCTAAGAGGAAATTGGGAAAAAACGTTGGAAGTGGATAAGGCACACATTGAGCAAACCATCAAACTGCATCACGAGGCAAGCGCTAACCTGGAATCCTGAAGGGAAACGAAAAAGAGGAAGGCCAAAGAACACACTGCGTCGGGAATCGGAAGCAGACATGAAGAGCAACTGAAAACAATTGGAGAGGATTGCCCTGGACGGAATTGGGTGGAGAATACTGGTGAGCGGCCTATACTCCTACATGAGAGGCAACAGGCGCAAGTAAGTAATCCTTCAGGCCTAATGAGACTTCCAAGATAAATGCAATGGTCAACGCACTCAACTACTTCACTTCCAGTCACTGGTCAGATAAGACTACGTCCAATCCCAAAACTGAGCAGAATTATAGTTCAGCAGCTAAAACTGTATCAGTAATGGAGTTAATTAATCATGATCTGTTTTTCTCTCTCTTTTAATTAGTTAGAGCAGCTGGAGGGCATTTGACGAATTCCTTGCAGTCTTCGGAAATGCTGTGGTTTAAGCACTTGATAGGTGCGATACTTTATTTACAACTGTTTGGACATTATTCCAAGTTTCTGCAGAACCAACCGTTTTTCTACAATAGACCGGATTTTTAGCTAATCCTTTTTTAAATACATTTTTGACCTTTTCATCCACCAATTGATATTTAAAGGTTCTTTCTGTTGTGAATTCTTTACGTCCGGTCAAGAGCGCAGAAATGCATATTTTTACCACAGCATGATAAGAGCCCGAACATGTGCTCCAGAAGTGGAATTCTTGGAGAGACTTAAGTCTCTCCAAAGAGAGCCGACGGATATATCACTTATTTACATCTATTGTATTGACGTTGAGGGGCATCTGGTTAGACTCTTTTCTCATCCTTGGAGTTTGTAATTCGTAGGAATAAGCAATTATTTGAGCATAATTGCAACAGACGGTCGCGGTTATCTGCTAGTTCGGTCAGTATACCATAAAATTTGTTTTTCAGCTTGACTTTGCGTTAAAATCACATACTAATATTACCACACCTGAGAGCCTGGTTTTCTTGCAAAATTCATCTTTTACTGCAGACAGTGCGACCATGGGCAAAAACGATGAAGAATCAACGGCGTACCCCATATTTTCAAAGTTTTACCATGCTATTAAAACGATCAGCACATAAGCAACTATTGATATGAATTCTATCAAGTCGATGTTCTGTTTTTAGAGTGTTATACATACACAGTTAAGATCATAAATTGATGTCAGACATTCAAATGCGCATGTGATATATTCTATTGGCTCCTCATAGTGACCGGGTGAGGTCCAGTAAATGACAATTCTAGGATCATGTATGCGTGTTTCGGGAGACACTGCATACGTTGATGGCACGAGATCCTAAGGTCTTCGTAAGTGACGACTTGTGTTCAATTCGACATAGGATTCGGATGGCGATTCGTGAACTCGAATCGTTAGCACTGTGGGTACACGAGGAACAAGTGGTAAATGAGGGATGATGGTGGAAATAGAAGTATTCGGCAATGAAGGTGGGGTCTGATAATTAAAGCAGTGATTTAGCGTGCTGTTAGCGCCATGAAAGAGTCCATTACTTCGCAGTGGCTTGCACCGTGGAAGGATACTTCTTTTTGAGGTACCTGAAGGCGAAACAAAGTTAAGAATAGTCTTGGAGACCCGCTGGCATGAACACAGGTAACCGGCTACACATGTCCTTATTCGGGTAATCTCAGATGAGTTAGCTCCATATTTTCAAAGACTTACTCTCGAAAATGAAAATATACGAAGAAACGTGGTATGCCATTTATAGAGTAAGGCTTTTCAAATCCCTTCTTCATTTGTGAGTATGATTGGAGATAGTTTGTCTGAGTGAAACACCTCACTGTTGTTATAAACTTATACAGTCCGCAGTACAAATTTACTTTTAGTCTTACTTCTTTTCAACTAACTTGTTCGAGATGATAGAGCCTAGAGATAAAATCGTCCCGATTTTCAGATTAGGTCATCGCGAAATGCAAGTCGGAACATCAAATCAAGGCGGCAGCTACAACTGCGCAAAACAAAGTCTGTGTAAGATAAAAATACACTAATTATGTAAAGGTTTAAAAGCAACGACCAACATAGGATTACGTTTTAAGCACAATGGATAAGATTGTTTAGAATTAAAAATTATGACGAAACGTTAGTATATCAAAGTGGAACCTGATGAGATAAATAATGCGGTTAAGTTTGTGAGCACATACCATGATCCACTTGGATATAAGATGGTTGTTTAGGGTATTTGGTAGCTACTACTTTTGTCGGGCTCTTAACCGCTGGTTGATCAGATTGCTTATGTACATAAACTGATTCATTGTTGGATGGATTGGCGGTTGCTGTGTATAAAACTGTTCCATCAGGGGCGAATTTCACCCATCTTACTCGTGAATGATTTGACACAAATCGCCATGCCGAAAGTATCCGACCAGATACCCAATCATAAAAGACCACTTCTTGAGTCCTATAGGTGAAGAAGTTTATTAATTTTCTGTTAGACACAAATCTAACTGTTACAAGAAAAAGCTGCTTTAAGGTAGAAATAATTGATCGTTAATTCTAGTAGGAAGTAAAAAACTAGGAATTTAATCGGGGACAGGATATTATATTCCGAATTCCATTCGTGGGCTCACCTATGAATCTCCTACATTGATAAACATGAACAGTGTGCTCTAGAATTTAAAGAATGGAGTAGAGAAGAGACTTTAGTCCATTTAGATGTGTAAATAATTGACTACTAAATTGTCATTAAGTAAGATGATGTTCCAAAGGAACTTTTGCAACCAAAACGCTAAAGTGAAACATCTAAATTTCGGTAGAACTGGGTTTTTTTAGTAGGATATGTTATGTAACATTAGGAGTTTCTTGTAGCCTTTATTTCAAACACTACTCGGGAAATGTTTTCACTTGGAGTTCTGAAGTTTTGAATCCAGTTTAAAAATCTAGTTAACCAAACAATGCCGCTTTAAAGTCAATCAGTCAGTAACAACATGGAACTTCGTACGTACGTACATCAGTTCGAGTTGCCATACCACATCAGCACAGAGATTCAGTTATCGATTCAAATCCCGTAGTGGTAGAGATAGTGAACATTAGGGTTTAAAGTTATTTAAGGAGTATAGTCCAGTCGAATCGATTTGGAAAGAAAATAAAGGACATGGAGAATTTAGAAAATTAGAGTTTGAGAGAACACAGAGTGGATTCACCTGCGCCATTGCAAACGATTTTGAGCCATGTCATTCAAGGTCTCTAACCATCTCGCGGTCCCCAACCAAGTAGTCTACATCTACCAACATGACTCAGTCCACTTGTCAGCGACTTCATGGATGTGCCATGTTTTGGTCTGGCCGCCCCTAGCTTTCTTCCAACCTACTCCTGTACCATAAAACCTCGCACGTCGGGGCAGTCGGTGGTCGGGCATGCGCAACACATGTCCCAGCCATCTCAGCTGATTAAGTTTCACTACTTCATCAATTGATTTGCCATCTTTACCTAGTACCCGTTTCCTAACAACTGAGTTACTTACTCGGTGGTCCCAGGATATACGAGCAATGCTTCGAATACACCTATGATCAAATACTAGTAGCCTACGAATATCCTCTACTCTTACCGGCCATGTTTCACCTCCATGAAGTAGGACAGAACGAACTGCTGCGCAGTAAACACGTCCTTTGGTTGATAGACGGATATATCGCCTACGCCACAAATGACGCAAGTTGGCAAAAGCTAGTCGAGCCTCCTGTATCCGTGCTGAGATTTCGTCACACACCAGACCACAAGGGGTTGTGAGACTCCCAAGATAAGTGAAGTGGTCGACACACTCAACTACTTCACTCCCTATCACTAGTTCGGGTGTCGACACAACCCAATCCCGAAAGCAGATGACAGTTCGCCATAAGCTCTCACTCGACCAGTTGTGTTCGAGTAGAAAGCCTATATAAGGTTAATGTACTTCTTTGGTACTCCTATCAGTGACACACTGCCACAGAACTTTAAGATCAACAGAGTAAAATGCCGCCTTAAGGTCGAGAAATACTATCATTGTGGGGCGTCTGAATGTGTGTCTATGTTCTAGGACCTGACGTAGTGTGAATATTTGATCTATACAACCACGTCCAGGTCGAAAACCAGCTTGGTTTTCTCTAGTCTGTTCTTCACGAGCTTTGGTTAGGCGTCGAAGTATTATTGAAGCTAATATTTTAGACACTATATTAGTCAAACTGATTCATCTGTGATTGACACAAGAGGACTTTCGGCCTTATAGACTGGCACAATCAGTGATTGAGACCAGTCAGCCTGACACTATCAAACAAATAACAAGAAAATTAGCACCTGCAAATGGGTAAATACGAAGTTACAGAAAGAAGACTAGAAGATCAACATTTAGGAATCTCTTACCATGCTGCTACTAGTATGGGATGAACTGGATGGAAAGTAAGGGATGCGATTGCACCCGTATGCTTCCAAACGCATACAGATGAGAGTTCCACGGCGCCCTCGATTTTTTCATCACTAAGTACTGCCAAATGCTCTAAATTCCAAAGTCGTACATTGCCACCAAGGCACCCACTCGCAAGCAAGAAGGGTTGTGTTGGATGAAACTATTTAGAAATAGATTGATACAATGTAATAGGATTTAAAACGGAAATACTAGGTCATATTTTAGACGCTCCTCAGGTTTCAAGTAAATACAGGAAAACTGAAACATTCTTTTTATTGCATAGTTCATTATTTCAACTCTTGAAGCCTTGATTACGTCTTTGCCATTCTTCTTTAATTCGTGATTGACCGTATTCAACTCATATCTTTCTTGATTACCATTAGTCTGTCTTCAGTTACTTTATTACACAATCATCTAATGTTTGTTAACTTTAAAAGTTCTGGTCATTAACTCTCTCCCTTAAGCTTTATTTATTTGTTTGAAACAAAAATCTTCATGACCTTACTAACTCGGTTGGATTTTCCACTACATAATGATATACATATTTATGTCTAATCACCCTCGCTTTTATAAGTACGCCAATATTTGTAATTTCGATTTTAAAATATAGATTGCAAGCAGCTGATAAGAACCTAAGGAAATAAAATGAACTCATTATTCTGAATCAGCCTTTGTTTTTGTTCTTTAAGATAATAAAGGGAATCGTGTATGAAAACTGCAATAATAAAGCGATAATCGAGTGTTGCATTCCACAACCCGTATCAGGAAGCTTGATTATAACTAAATGTAGTATTTTAGGACCCAAACTTTTTGCTGCAAATTCACAAATAACCCAACACAACCGAATCTAGGATTATGTAACTGGTTATTAAGTTGCGCCTGATCAGCAATATTACTTTGTTTATTCTAATCAGTGTTAGGTGGGATCCGAATGTACAACACAGTTTAATGTTGTCAACTAGTAGGCAGTCACTCCGATAAATAATATGAGCCCACATTATCTAGAACAATTAATTTTCCCCTGAAGTGATAACAGTATCAACTTGTCAGTTGCGAACACTGGTATTCAGATTTTCGAGCAACTGACTGTCTAGTCAGATTAGTTAGGCATTTATAAATGATTTTATCCCAACATTGATCACTTGCTCAACAAAAGTAAAGATTAAATTACTAGGATGTCAGAGATTGCACATCGATCTGTTACAGATTCTTTATGAGGGATTAGACAAAATACGGCTTGCTAGTTTGTATTTTGGTAAAATTATGAAAGATTTATAAACTGTCTTATTGTTTGCTTATAACTTAAGTTAGTGGCAATGGAAGACAACATGTTAAATACGACACGACAGTACGGTCATAAAACCCTACGTTGGACTCGCATTCTACCCACTATTGAACACGTTCCAACAGATGGACTTCCTAGACTTCCGGCCGCTGCTGCTACCTTGACGTAGTGGTCGGGCTTGCCTATAGTGATGAACTAATAGGGATATACTGGCTAGAACAATCGTTCCTCAACGTCTTACCATGCACTTCGGTCACACTCTCAGGTCACTAAGACCAACGTAATCGATTTCCCTCTTCTCCAGACTCGCATAACTGATCAAGAACGATTAGATTTATCAACGTCAGATATGAATACATTTCTAAACCTGAATAACTAGCAGTAAAAAGTGCTTAGGTCCTATAAACTTTTTATCAAACTTAATTAAAGAGGAATAAGCACGCAACAGCTAGCTGACTCACAGATGTATTGCCAAGAATGTGAATTTTCATGACCCTAACCTGTAGGACATGCTAACCAACTCGAGTCAAGTAGGTTGGATGTGTTTATTTTTGAGAGGGATATGCTTTGCCAAGATTATGACTTAAGTTAATGAAAGCTGACTTTTAAATAATTCTTACTGACACCAAGTCTTTCCAGATTAGATGTGAGTTTTTAAAAGCCAAAAGGAGTGAAAAAAAAGATATTTAAATTAAAAAGGAGATGGAATTTAGTTCCTCATGTCTAAGAAATTTATTAGCGGGTTAACGTGTAGTACAAAAAACGAGCGATACAGCCATCAACCAAGCGGTCAAATGAACTTAAAAATCTGCTTCAAATTTGACTAGGGTGGGCAATTACGTAAGAAGCAACGTTCTCAACTAATTTATTCCATGACATCAGTAAAATTGCAGTTAGGAATTGACAACTATACGTTTTGACAATGTAGCTGAAATACCGGTACTCGGGAAAACTCACCCGATAACCTCATACTGTAGAAGTTAGTGATAAGACCTAGCCGTTCTAACAGTAATTGGAGAATAATCCATACACAGATCACTGATTACTTCAAGTACCAAGATATTCTATAAATACAGAAACATAAAACTGACTGCAGCTAGCAGTTTATAGTATATGGGTGTCTTAAATCGTGACATGATTACTGAGCAATTTATGCAGCTCACAAGTCGAGGACAATGACAAGG